AATCATACAACAGCAACGATGAAATAGTGTAGCCAAGGCAGCAGAGCTCTGCTCCTGTCACTCGCTCTCAGACACACACAGACACACAGACACAGACACAGACACAGACACACACACACACACACACACACACACACACACACACACACACACACACACACACACACACACACACACACACACACACACACACACACACACACACACACACACACACACACACACACACACACCACACACACACACACTAGGGCTGCTCGATTATGGCAATAATCAAGATTATGTTGGTCAATAATTAATATCATGATTATTCATTGACTTTGAAAACATCCATTTATTGAACTTTAAAACAAATAATAATTTGAACAGTATCTTTTTAACTGTTGATTGCCCTGAACGTATAATTCAACTGAAAAACCAATACAAAAATTAATTAAATAAATGATACATTACAAAAAAATTAATTAGATCAAATATGTTGTAGTGCACTGTCACAACCTAGCAAAGCAAAATAATGTTGTTTTCGTAATTGTGGCAGGCCAAAATCGTAATTGCGATTAAAATATGATTAATTGCACAGCCCTAACACACACACACACACACACACACACACACACACACACACACACACACACACACACACACACACACACACACACACACACACACACACACACACACACACACACACACACACACACACACACACACACACACACACACACACACACACACTTTTTGTCTAACACGCTAACACAGTTCTGTACTGTTATGTTCAGTCACTGTTCTTATGTTGAACATGAATACATTTATGGGACGTATTTCTTCTTTCATATACATTTTCCTTCATACTTTATTTCCGTGAAATAGGTCTTAAATTCTATTCAAAGTGGTCTTAAAAAGGTGTTAAAAAGTCTTACATTTGAGTTGGCGAAACCTGCAGGAACCCTGTACAATAAAAAGTCCTGCATTCAAAATGTTACAAGTAAAAGTAGAAAAGTATTAGCATCAAAACATAGTTAAAGTACCACCTGCAGAGGGATCTAGATTCAGGTGTTCTTTTCCCCATAGAGCCCGCCTCGCTGCACATTATCCCTTGCATAAAGATAGATTGTGGGTCCCTTATAACATGTTGTACACAGTGGAAATAAACATTCTGGCCACTTTAACATCAGGGATCTTATACATTAAACTCCTTCTGAATCAAACCGTCACGTTAGCCTTACCTTACTGATCCCTCTTAAATTAGATTACATTTGGTGAAAAACACATAATGACTTGTTTATGACTCGTTCTGTCAAAGTTTAGGACTTGGACTTGACTTGAACTTGCCCATCCTGACTTGAGACTTGCCTTGGACTTGAGCGCAAAGACTTGAGACTTGACTCGGACTTGAGCGCAAAGACTTGAGACTTGACTCGGACTTGCAAAACAATGACTTGGTCCCACCTCTGGTAAATGCTGATCCGTGCATTAATAGCAACAGCACAGACATAGGCCTATTATAAAGAGAACATCTGTTGCACACGGGGTGGTGCCACAGGTCTACATTTACATGAAACGTCCCAATGGATCATGTTCATGTCAACAGATTTCCCGAGCATGTATGTATGGGCTACGCAAACTTCAATCAACTTGATAATAAATAATCCACGGACCACCAATGTAACGTTTGACTGTTTAATTAAATCAATTTAAAATGACTCAAAAACAGGCTACATTGTTTCACATGGGCTATAGCCTATTATGGCTGTAGCCTACACAGAGCCGAACACACGCGATAAGAGCAGCCAGCGGCACCAACCATGAACAATATTAATATTAATAATACAGCTATAGCACAACACAACTCTCTCACTGCCTGTAGAGACGCGACGCCACACACACAACACAACGGCTCGTCTTCTTGTGTCTCTTCAGCCCCCAAGTTAACGTTAGCTGTCAAGTTAGCACTAGCACTGACGTTAGCTCCCTCCTCTCTCGGTTCTGTTGTAGCAGCAGTCACAACGTACGGTACGAATGATGTGCTACCACCAGCTACATTCGGTTGGTCTTCTTGATCATCAGGTTGTTTGGCCGTCTTTTTAAAGAATTGCCCAAGGTAAGTTGTTTTTTTCTTTTCGACATGTCAGCAGCAGCAACAATGCCTGGTAAACATGCAGTGCTAACTAAACGAGCTTGTGGGTACTGGGTGGAGCTGCGGGCAGCGTGCAAGCAGGCGACACTTTTTTCATGAATCATAAACTCTAAATATAATTTTATTTCACTTATTTTACACCTTTGGAAAAAAAAAAACATGCCCAAAATGGAATTTATTTGGTCATCATATCAGTATTTTAGAGAGCTCCCCCCAAATTTCACAAACCATGTTCCCAGGGGAGCTCATGTCACCACTAGGGGAGCTATAGCTCCCCCTGCTCCCCTCCAGTTCGCACCCTGGAGTGTGCTGACTTTTCGTACAATGTCCCACTGTCTGGCTACCTGTGTTACCGAACAAATTGTGGCCCGAACAACTGGTGATATTCTATTATTTTCGACAGATGTATTGGGGCGTGTACCTTGAGGACCCATATTTGACTCACCGGAAAATAAACATCTTGATCGCTTCGCGTGTTGTTCAAATTCATCTTTTGGTATATCTGACTGAATAGGACGACTTTGATGCACGTTCAGTACGCGTATGTGAGGTTGTGGGTGAGAAGCTGATATCGTGAAGCTTACAGTGACGACTAGAACATGACAAAGTAGATGACTGTGGGGATACCTTCAGACCGCCTCTATTGCCCCTTTCACACCAGCGCTTTTTCAGCTCCGGCTCGGAGCTGGAGCCTGAAAAGCGCCGGTTTTTCCTGTTCACACCGCAGCGGCGCCGGCTCTTAGCTCCGGAATCGGGTTCACTTCCAGCTCCAAAAAATTGTCGGTCTAGAGGCAAGAGCTTCGGAGCTAAGAGGTGGCGTCGCTTACGTCTCTCTTACGTCGAGGCGTGCAGGAAACTAAACCCTCCTCCCCTGAACATGGGTCGACTGTCATGCCTGCCTACAAGCAGTAGTGCTTATAAACACACTTTATAAAGTCAGGCAACACTAACCAGGCTTCGTGTGATTCTGTTTATTTGTACCTTACTTTGACCATCCGTTCATTGTTATTGATCATTGATTGTGGAGAGAGGCAGACGTTTTGTTTTGTATTATAGCAGCTATCGGATGGAATCAATACATGGGCTGCACAGGTTGTCGTGTCCGACTATCACAAGTAGAATCATAATAAAAATACGCCGGTAAAATGTGCCTGTAGAAAACGGTTTATGCCACAATAGGATAGCAATAGCAAGTAGTCAGTTTAGCTTCGGTTGCTATGCTAACATCACCCATTTTATACCAGAGAAACTTTCATAACAGCGTTGATACCAAACAGCGTCAATTCAGACTGAGACACATTCACTTAGGCTAAGGGGAGTGTGAGTCGGACAGTGAATACTTTAGAGCGGCCGCAGCAGTGTGAGCTAACCGGGAGCTAACGGAGGAGAATAAACTCCCGTGGAAGAGCAGCCAACACTGCAGCGGTCGGTAAATGCTGCAGAAACACATTAATAAACAATGAACCACGGCACTCTGGAGCAAAGTATAAGGTTGGAGAAGTCGTTATTCAATTTAATCTGGCTTCGTGTGATTAAAAGCAACACGATCATCGACCCGACACAGTTGTTGTTGTTGTGAGCGCCGTAATGCCGTTGGGGAGCAAATCAGCGATGTAAATGATGACGTCATGACGCAGCAGCGGCAGCACCAGTCGGGTGCTGGGCGGTGTGAACAGAGCGGGAGCAGAAAAGGGAAACCGGAGCTGAACCAGAAAAGCTCCCGCTCGGAGCTAGAAAGGGAAAAGCGCTGGTGTGAAAGCCGCATATGCGAAACACAAGTTGTTTACTCACAGCCCGAAAGCAGCCTGGAGATGACAAGCTGTGATCCGATCCGAATAAATGGTGATACAACTTCTCCAGCCATTCTCAAGCGATCAATGTGTTTATTAAATACCTGTATCCCTCTCATCACAACACAACTCTATACTGTGCATCAGATATGTGTATTACAATTGAATGTAAATTGTCAATTTGAAAATATAGCAACATAAAACGAACAACTATGCACTGGGTTGTTTGTGAAACAGTAGCCTACCATCGAAGATGTTTGCAGACTTGACATGTTATTGCTGTGAAAATAATCAATTGAATCCATAGAATACAGTTGTTCCATCATGACTTCTAGCCTATAAGTGTAAGCAATTATGTCTACCTTCCCACTCTTGCAGCATTAACACCCAATGATATCAAATGCTTAACTGCCTAGGTTGTAACATTCACTTTTTGGTTCCCAAATGTCAGTTTAGTTTACATAAATGCACTTTTTGTTTTAACCTACATTACTGTTGTAGAAGGAAAAACAACAGTGAAAGTTATATTTCAGAAAGAACTTTATTGGAAACGTTTTTTCAACATTCAAACATTTATTGTCATTACATGACATTGCATTTAGCTGACGCTTTTATCCAAAGCGACTTACAATAAGTGCATTCGACCAAGAAGATACAAACGTGAAGAAAACAGAATCATATAAGTACATCAGGTTTCATAGAGCAAAAACATTTCAAGTGCTACTCAACTGGCTTTAGATAAGCCAATCCTTTATTAGTATATAAGTGCTTTGTTAGTAATTCTATTGCTCGAAGTGGAGTCGAAAGAGATTTCTGCGGTCCTGATTTCAATGGGGAGCACATTCCACCATTTGTCATGTCAGTATGTTAGATTCCATGATATAACAGTGGGTGTACAGGTGTGTATGTACACACAAATCTATGTACATTTCTTTAAATATATATATATAAGTTGCCTTTGAAAAACGTAATACTTTAGCTTTAAGTGTGCAATGACAACAGCCTGGACCACATGTGAACATAAACAAGGATTGTGTGTGTGTGTGTGTGTGTGTGTGTGTGTGTGTGTGTTTTTATAAAGTGCAGGCTTTGCAGTAATAGTCCAGTGAGATAGAGGGCTGCCCAACACATGTTGTGTGGTACCATTTGGTACAGCCGGTGCACTCAATCTGAAAAGAAACAGAAATAATACATGTTAGAACATGGCCACACTGCTTTTTTAGATTAACATCACTCATCCAGAGTACGTTTTACAATCACTCTGTTAACATTGAACTAAATAAGCAATGTATAGGTTGGGATCTTATCTGTGGTTCTTTCTGTGTAGAGTCCGTGCTCAGAAGTTCCTTCCACTGCACCAGTGTTCTCTCATAGTGCAAAGACATGCAAGTTTGGTGAATTCAAGTAAAAATGTTCAATATCTGTTATAGTGTTCACCCGGTGATGTTGAGGTAACCTATCCAGGGTGTATCCCAGTCTTCCAGCCAAATGGTGGTCAGGAAATGAATACAACGTCTTACCCATTGGTCAACCTTGGTGAACCCTGAACTAAGTTCCCCACAGGCCCGACACAGCTGGGATAGGTCATCTGTAAAAAACAAATACCGGCATAAATGTAGTGAAATGGAAACAATACAGGATATTTCGGTTTCTCTGGTTTAGTCCTGTAAACCGGAATTTTTCACCAGGGACATTGCCATGTCGAACCTCATTGAGGCCACACCCGCCTGGTCAACAGGGTACTGGACCTTCTGGTCCAATAGTATTTGCTCTGCAAGCTAACAAAGTCTGAGATAAGTATCTTCGTATTATGGTTTGATGACAGATGGTTATATATACACACATTCATAAATGTTACCTTGCAAATCAACACACCACATGATGTTGTGTCCTGCTGTTTGGGATGATCCATGCTGTTGCATGCCCATCTCCCAACAGCTGGGTTTGTCTTGCGGACCAGCGATCTACACAGGGAACACATAAATTATGTTTTGGACATACAATCCTTTTTACGTCAAGAACAGCTGAATGTTCACACAGGACAATCTTATGTTATTCAAGTAAAACAGCAGTAATCAGGAACATCATTGATGTGGCTTTGTGTTGCTCCCTTAATATAATCCCACATCCTGAATGCATGAATATATCTAGTAAAGACATTACAGCTGATACTTGATTTACCGTGTTAGGTCTTTGCAGCGGCTTATCTGTTCTTTGGTGGCCCCAAATGGGTCCAAGAAAAGGGACCTGTTTTCCCTCAGATACATGATCTGTGGAAGTGCAACAAATTAAACAAAGTGTCAAGTGTTAAATAAACAAGTGTTGAATAAAAAGAAATATCTTGACTCATTAACATTTTAGATGACTTACAATGAGGGTCCAGTGTGCCCTGTAACAGATGGCTCCAGCTGCCACATTGTGTTTTGTCAGGTCCAACTGAAACATATTTGTACATACTTAAGTACATATGTACATACACTTATTTCTAGTCCTACTCTACTCACCTTTCTTAAACCGCCTTTGTGTGTTCCCTGCCAGAGGGAAGTGATGAGGTAGGAGTAGAAAATGAAAGCCCCAGCTTTTGCACCCACCCATGATAAATAGGCATTGATAATCTATAAATACAGATGTTTTTATCCCATTTGATAAAGAATTATCAGTTTGCATATGTACTTTTGTCTTATAAAGTAGGCTTACCTCTCCCTCCAACTGCTGTCCTGGGGCCAAGACCATGAGGTTCTCGCTGTAAACTTTGTATGGGCCATATTTGGCCCATAGCGTCTCCTTCCTCCTCCCTGCCCATATGTCTCGGATTACTGTAAAAAAAAAAAGATAACGCATGTTAGTTATTAAGGAAATGCATACTTTGAGGTGTACTTGAAGCAAAACTTCCTGAAACTCAACAGCTCCAAGACCGAAGCCATTATAGTTGGCACCCCACACCAGGTTCGGTCATCCACCATCACCACCATCACCTTCTCCGGCCAGGACATTACCCTCTCCTCAATAGTCACCAACCTGGGTGTTAAATCTGACGCCCATCTGACCTTTGAGGCCCACATTAAACAGCTGTGCAAGAACTCCTTTTATCACCTCAGGAACATCGCCAAACTCCGCCCCACACTCACTCTGTCTGACGCCGAAAAGCTGGTCCACGCCTTTGTCTCCTCCAGGCTGGACTACTGCAATGCACTCCTCATCGGGATCCCCAACAAAAGCATCCAGAAGCTCCAATACATTCAGAACAGCGCTGCTAGGATCCTGATGAGGGTGCGCAAATATGATCACATCACCCCCATCCTTAAAGCACTACACTGGCTACCCGTGGAACTGAGGATCGAATTCAAGGTCTCCGTCCTCACCCACCAGTGTGTCCATGGAACTGCCCCTCCCTACCTCAAGGAACTCCTCCTTGCGGACCACCCGCTCCAGCAACTCCAACTTCCTCAAACCCCCCAGGACTAAACTCCGTACTATGGGAGACCGGGCCTTCTGTTCGGCTGCTCCCAGTCTGTGGAATGCTCTCCCCGACCAAATGAGAGCACCACAGACCGTGGAGGCTTTTAAAAAAGGCCTCAAAACCCATCTCTTCAAAAGAGCCTTTGCCTAGACCTTTTTATCACCCTTTTATTTATTTTTTTTTTTTTTTAATTAATTCTACCGTGTTGTGTAATGTTTATTTATACTGTTCATGCTCACTACTTGTAGCACTTCGGGATTTGAAATCAAATATGAAGTGCTTTATAAATGGAACCCATTATTATTACTTTGTGTCAGTTTACTTACAAGTCTCCACCTCAGAAGATGCTCCTTCTGCCTGACTTGATGGAGCCAGGGTTTGGGAGGATGTGGAGGGTGTGGATGTGGAGGTGGGTGTGGAGGTGGAGGTCAGTGGATCAGCCAGAGGAGAAGGATCCAACAATCTTTTCAATTTCGCAGGGATCCTCTCCTCTGGCTGGACATAGTGTGCGAGGTGGTCAATGTTGACTTTCATCGTATTGTTTCCCTTTTCTGAAACTATTTCAGCAACTTTCCCCTCAATGTCCACAACCCGGTAAGGTCCCTGCATTTCCACCTCTAGTTTTCCACCTTTTCTTTGCTCCAACCTTTTGTTTCTTTTTAAAACCAAGTCCCCACTTGGAAGTTGTCCACTTGCCCTTTCTCCAGTTTCCTCTTGCGGACCCTCTCTTGGCTTTTTAAAATGTTTTTCTTTACAAGCGTGAAAACGGCCTCCTGTTTTTGAAGTCCCTTCCAGACATCTTCCCTTTCCACCATCCTTTTCACTTTGTCTTCTGTTATCTGCCACAGAAAACAGTTAGAATATAGAGGACATACATGTTTGAAATAAAAATAATGCTACAGGATAAGCGATTAACCGGATCTTACTTTGTACTCCTTGGGCACCTCTGATGGGCACCTCGCCTCCCTCCCAAACATCAGAAAATAGGGACTGAACTTTGTAGTCAGCTGAGTTTTGGTTCTCAGACTGAACATGGTGGGCTGCAGGAATTAGTCCCAACGCTTGGGCTCACCCGCCACCAGTTTGTTCAGGGACCTAAATTCAGGTAAAGTACAGACACAAGCAGGTAGAAGACAAAATTGTTTCGAATATATGATAAAGCAACCCATTTATTTACTCTTATTGTTTGATTTAGGTATAATTTGTGATTACTGTTAATGTAGGAAATATAATGTTATGTATATTAATTAACATACCTCTGTATTGTTCCATTTAATTTTTCCACGAGCCCATTTGTCTGTGGATGATACGGGGAACACAGGCTTCTTTCGATTCCCAGCCTCTCACAAAGGTTATATTTAACCTTGAAGGAAACATTGGGACAAAAATGAAACAATGAAATGCATCTCCTGCTGAAAATGCCTGTGAATGCTGTAAACTGCGAGAATGTGTTTGTGAATTTTGATGAATTTTGCATTCACACTAAAAAGTTAGCACAGAAATGTTACATAATAGGGAGTGATAATGCTTCAAGGGTATACCTTATTACAGAATTCCCCGCCTTGATCTGTTAGCAGTCTTTGAGGTGCACCAAATTTGTAAAATAAATCAAGAATACAATTGGTCACCTCATCTGCTGTTTTGCTTTGAAGTGGGTATGCCTCTGCCCATTTGGTGAAATAATCAACCATGACACAAATGTATTGATTGCCACCATCTGTTAGTGTGAGTTTACCCACTAGGTCCATCCCAACAAGCTCCAGAGGCTCTGTTACCTGAGAAGAAGAAAAAATGTGCATTTCAGTAAACCACAGTTCACATGTTCCAAAGCTGAAACTGGCTGGAATTGCTTCCTTGTACCTCAATGGGAGTGTACTCCCTCTTTTCTTTGATGCTTGCCCTCTTTGATTGGCACTGGGGACACTCAAAAATCTGGAAAATAAAAATAGACAATAGCTACTTAATATACACACACTCAACTTCCGGTATGGGGTGTGCTGAATAGACGCGTGCTCGGTTGGCTCTAACTTTCCCACTCTTATTTACCTTTTAAACCTCGTCCTTTTTCAACATAATTTGTTTTCAACGGCTTATAAGCCAGTGTTAACTGCAAAGACCTCCGGCAATGTCGAAAGCAAAGGGAAAACAAGCTGAAAAGGACAAAGGGTCTCCAGCTCCGACTCCTAGCATTACTACAGCTTCGACTCCAAGCATAACTTTGGCTGACATTAGCTTGCTACTGGATGGACATAGAGCAGCTCTCACGGCTGATTTCAAATCCTCATTCGAGTCTCTGACATCTACCCTGGACAGCATACATTCCACTATCACAGACCTATGGGACTATGCCCGTGGGCAGCGTATACATTCTCTAGAAGCTAATGCTAATGAAGTCGACCAACGTCTCCAGCAACTTGAGAACGCATGCTCCGCTCTGAAGGGGGACAACGAGACACTCAAAACTAAGGTAGCAGATTTGGAGGGACGCAGCAGATGCCAAAATCTTCGGATTATTGGCCTACCTGAATCTATCGAAGGTCCCCGTCCAACTGCCTTCTTCTCTCAACTCCTCGTTGATATCCTCGGCACGGAGATTCTTGCTTCGCCCCCCGAGCTTGACCGAGCTCACCGGAGCCTCGCGCCCAAGCCTGCCCCAGGAGGGAGACCGAGACCTGTCATCCTGCGCTTCCACCGCTTCCAAATTAAGGACCTAGTGATCCGTGAGGCCCGCAGGCAGTGTGAGCTGAACTACAAAGGCCATAAGATCCGCTTGAATGATGACTACAGCCCCGAACAGGGCCGGACTGGGACAATAAGTCAGGCCGGGAATTATACACCCAGCCAGGCCACTACCAGTTTTTTGTGCCATTTTGCTGGATTTATTTGTCAATATTTACAGCGTTGCTGCCCATAGTGATAGCCCTATAGTTTAAATCTACTACCAAAAAATAAACATATGGAGATGGGTTACTATTTAAACAAATGGGCAAATCTATTTAGGAACCTATTCATGTGAGCATATTTTACGTGGGGGTGGACCTCTAATCCTATAGGGGGGTCCGGGGGCATTCTCCCCCGGTAAGATTTGTTTTTAAATGTTGGACTTAAATGCATCAATCTGGTGCCCTTTGAGGGGGAAATAAAGAGAGAGACTACACCTACATGAAACAGAACTGTATACATTTAAATAATCATAAAAACATGGCCATAACCAATAACATACCATATCCAATATGAAAAAACATTGAAACTTGTTTATTTATTTGTTTTTGGTTCATTTATAGTTGTGAGTGTGTCTGTGCTCCTGAATCAGCCTCACCTGTCTCCCCCTGCTCCTCTTTGAGGCAGCAGCAAAGACTAGTTTTAGCTCTCAACAAGCTGGCAGAATAAATTGCATTAAAATGAATGTGCTCCCCAAATTTCTATATCTTTTTCAGTGTATACCAGTTTTCATTCCGAGACATTTCTTCCATTCACTCGATCACTCAATTTCTCAGAAATATGGAACAAGAAAACACCCAGAATTCGAAAAAACATTCTTCAAAAAACCAAGGAAATGGGTGGCTTAGCATTGCCTAACTTTTTATTTTACTATTGGGCCGCTAACATTCAAACTTTATTGTCCTGGCGTTGTATTAACAAACAACCTCCACCGTGGCTGCAGATTGAGGATGCCTCATGTGGCTCTTCTTCTCTGACGTCCCTCTTGTGCCTCCCCCTGACGTTACCATCCTCAAAATACTCCAAAAATATTGTAGTTAAAAACTGTCTCAAGATCTGGACTCAACTTAAACGGCACTTTGGGTTCCAGGGAATACCTCTACTGTCCCCTGTGCATTCCAATCCGCTGTTCACTCCCTCCATCACTGATGCTGCCTTTTCAATATGGGAGATCAATGGGATTGTGTCTGTAAAACAACTTTACATTGATGGAACATTTGCATCTTTTGATCAGCTGGCCCGTAAATTCAATCTACCCAAGTCCCACTTCTTTAGATATTTACAAGTCCGAGATTTTATTCGTAATCGTTTTCCAATTTTCGCTGCTATTCCTCCTTCTACCTGGGTTGACACTATCTTAAGTATTAACCCTAACCTCAAGGGTACCATTTCAAAGCTATACAATACTCTTTTCACATGCCACCCTCTGCCCTCTGATAACTTTCGAACTAATTGGTCAGAGGACCTCAATATAGAGATAGGGACTGAGGTTTGGCAGTCTATTTTGAAACGTGTCCACACATCATCCATTTGTGCCCGCCACAGGGTTTTACAATGTAAAGTGGTCCATAAAGTGCACTAGTCCAAAAGTAAACTACACTGTAGCTCGCATCTATCCTGGTACTGATCCTAACTGTGATAAATGTCACCTAGGACCAGCTAATCTCGCCCACATGTTTTGGACTTGCCCCACCCTATCTCAGTTTTGGAAGTCTTTGACTCACTCTCAGATATCACGTCTGTTACCATCCATCCCTCACCCTTAATTGGCCTGTTTGGTGTCTTACCCGTTAACCATTTACTGCCATCCTATTTCGCTGAACTTGTAGCTTTCCTCACATTGCTGGCTAGGCGCGTTATTTTGATGCATTGGAAGAGTCCTCGTCCCCCCTCTCATACACATTGGATAAAGGATGCCCTATACTTTGTGAAATTGGAAACAATTAAACACTGTATTAGGGGCTCAGACTTGAAGTTCACAAAAATATGGCTACCCTTCTTAGAACATATTAAGTCCCTCCAGTTGGAGTCTGTCCCCATTGGCTGAGTCGCCCCCCCCCCCCCCCCATCCATCCACTATCTCTTGTCTCTGTCCAGTGAATTACACTTTTATTACTGGAGCAGGTAAAGTATACAACAGAAACTTTCAGCATTATCGGAGCACAAAGTGGAAGCTTGGATGAAACACAGCGGACTTCTAAACAATGAACACCCGCAACTTAGAACAAATAAAGTTGGGTTTTATGCGTTCTAATATTGCAATGCAAACCCATGATGTAATGACAGTAATTAAGAATAATGTAGTCATTGAATGCTCATTTCAGTAGATTTAATCAAACAAAACAAACATATTGGACATGGCCTCAAGACTGTAACCTCTTCACATTCTGTTGAAATAGTGAATTACTAGCCATATCTTAACACATTGCTCTTTTGAATTATAATATGTGGATGACAGTTGAACTGGATGATGTAACATTTATGCCATCGTCTGGAAAGAAGACGTATCGCTCTGTTGGCGTTGTTTGGACAACAAAAACAGAGTGAAGCTCTCATTTCATAAACAATTTTTTAGTACAGACACCATCCTGCAGATAGCACACAATCCAAAAGCACGTTTTTGGTCGAGCATCACTTTACAAAACGTTTGCATTAAGAAACTAAGACTAGCTGGACCATTGTAAAGGTCGGTCCACCTTAAATGAGCAGCAGGTGAAAGGCAGGACGTGGGAGCTTGGTCCTGAGGAGATGTAACGATTATTAAACAACAAATAGTCGAGTCAAGGGGTCAAAGAAATGAACATTTGTGATTATTCGCGAATCGGTTGCAGGTGGGGGAAATCAGGCTTAGGGAATAACGTATTACATCTAACGGCATTGGGTAATCAGGATACAAAATAGGCAAATGTATTCCCTTACAGTTACAGAAGCAAAAACAATCAGATAACAGGTACATTTATGCAGAACAGGGCTGCATTAAAAGGGGACATATCTTGCAAAATGCACTTGTTCATGTATTTTATAGATAAACATGTGTCCCCTCTGTGTAAAGAGATTCTGAAAGTTTCAGGAAAAAAGATTTGCTCACTTTTTGTCCCGATCCATTTCTATAAAAACCTGTCTGAAAATGAGCTGATCAGATTTTGGCCACTTTATGATGTCATAACGATTTGTTGGTTTGTGTAACCATTAGCCCAGTGGTTCCCAAACTTTTTGTGCCCAAGGCACACCAAAGGACAAGTAAAAATCTCAAGGCACACCTATTGTGCAAAATAGCCCTTATAACACGTGTTATCACTCATATCATGTAAAATATCTGTAAATGTGCATAATTATTTACTAATGCCAAATAAAATGTGACAAAGACAACTATATTACTCATGAAATATTTCAGAAATTAATTTGAAACTTTATCAAATTAGGTTTCATCAAAGCAGCAACACACTCATTTAAACCAGACAGCTCACAAAATTAACATTTCAGCAATCAGCATTGAAACATGTGCTATTGTAAATATTTTGCCGACTTACAAATTAGTGAGATACATGTGCCTGTCGGGGCGCGCAGAATTTTTGTATACTTGGTGGCACTGAGGAGAGGGCCACTCGCAAGTCCTGTTCAACAGAGAGCCGTGACCTCCTGTTGTTCTTCATGTAAATCAGAATCACACTTGTTTGCGTTGAGTGGCGTTGACATCCAACTCTTGACATGACATAAAAAAGGTCGGTAACGTTAATCATTACGTTCCGCTGCCACCAGGTTACCGTTACACTGGGTTTGAGTGAGAGGATAGAGGAATATGTTTATTTATAGTAGACTTAAAAGATGTAATTAGAGACCCAGTGTAATTAAACAATACGGTTGCAGAGGTCAAATTTTAACATGTTTGTCCACTGGCCAAATGGCTAGCCTAGTGAATGTTGAAATGTTACCAGCCACTCAATAGATTGCCATTGTTATTTTTGGCTGGTGCGTGCAACATACAGTACCAGCCACTTGCATGATTTACCAGCATTTGGCTGGTAAATGGTGTTAATGGTAGATATCTCTTTTGGAACAGGTCATGTTTTAATATCACCAGTTCAGTATATTTCAGATAATATTGCAGCAATAGTTTTTTAGTTGCAAATGGCACAGAACAAATGTTTACTTTGAAGTACTTTTAACACAGTTTCCCTGCGGGGGATTAATAAAGTAT